CATATATAAATATATATATATATATAAATATATATATATGTTACAGTAAGAATGCGTACCTAGTGAATACGCGTAATCACTGAATATTTTAGTGAATACACATAATCCCCGTTTCACTCAGGGATTTCACGTAATCACTGAAATTTCTAGCAATTACGCGAAATCCCTAAAATTAGACCTATCATTTTATGTGTTTTTACTATTGAGCATTCAGTATTCACTAGGTATGCATTCTTACTGTAACATATATATGTTACCGTAAGAACACATACCTAGTGAATATGTGTAATCACTGAATATTTCAGTGAAAACCCGTAATCCCTGTTTCACTCTGAGATTTCACGTAATCACTGAAATAATCAGGAATTACGTGAAATCCCTAAAAAATGGTCACAATAATTACATATAATCCCTGATCAGACATATAACTCGACCTTTCCATATGTTGAATCCATGACTCCTTTGAGAGTGAGTCTTCTCAGCGTCGGTCTAAGCGCCACAACGTTCGCGTATGTAAAACGTCTCGGGTCGGGAACGCTCTGGAAAGAGACCTCCGAAATTCGCCTGTAAATCGAACGTGTTCAAGCAACTCAACCTCTTAGAGCAAAAAAAATATTCCAAAGTGGTATCTGAATACTTTTTGAAAGTTTGAAAGTGAAATATAAAAAAGCAAACTTTTTGTTACACGTACGAGTACGGAAATCCAGAATGGCGAGCGGCGTCGTGAAAGTTTGTAAAATAGCGCGCGCCAAAGAGGAGCGCTAGGCACAAAAGTGATTCGAAAAACAGCGCACCAACGTGGAGCGCCGTGACACGAAAAGGTTAAAATGACCCGTAAGCTTTTGTGTAAACTTTTCCTCGATAGACATCTTGACTTTGCTTGAGGAAGGCGAGTTTTGAAGAGAGACGACCTTATAACAAGAACACCAATAACAAATTGGTGGTTCAAAACAAGCTCACTTATAACTACGAGTATTTGTGGTTCAAAACAATTACACTTATAACTACAAGTATTTATTGTGGTTCATAGTAAGCTCTCCAAATAACTATTTGCGATTCATAGCTAACACACCAAACTGGGCCGCTGTACAGTGGCGGGGCTATTACGTGAATTCATTGAATGCTCAATAGTAAGAACACGTAAAATGATAGGTCTAATTTTAGGGATTTCGCGTAATCACTATAAATTTCAGTGATTATGTGAAACCCCTGAGTGAAAAGGGGATTACGTGTATTCACTAAAATATTCAGTGATCTCGCGTATTCACTAGGTACGTATTCTTACTGTAACATATATATATATATATATATATATATATATATATATATATATATATATATATATATATATATATATATATATATACTCTGTCACATTTTTAAGTATACACATTTTGAAGCTCAGTAAAACAAAATTTGTGCCGCCAACTACTTTAAAATTTACACACTGATTACGTGATATACCTGTCGCTTGTGAGCTGTTTTCAGATTTCTGAACGCGCAAGTGGTTTTATAACGGCATGCGTGTTACATGTTTTGTCTTTTTTGAGAATTAGTCATGATACGGAAATAATTTGTTTAAAAAAGAAGCCCACGTTAAAGCTTTGTCATTTTTGTAACAATTCACCAATGATAAAACTTCTTAAGTCTACGTTTCAACATGCCACGCCCAATGAGAAAATGTGCGAAATCAGCTTGCTGGAATGATTCGGGGTGGTGCCTCGGTTGCGAGATATTTTAACGTAACAAGAAGACATGTGTACACAACAATGGATCTTGAGAAAACAACAAAATCAGATCAGGAAAGGATCGACACTGCCAACGTGGGAGAAGAAAAACTACTCCAAGAGAGGATTTTTATTCGTCTGTCGCATCTACGGAATCGTTTCAAAACGGCAAGACAAACCAGAGATGAGTTGAACAATATGCGACATCACCATCCTCAGACACTTCCTCAACTTGAGAGAGCATTGCATTAAGAGTGGAAGAACATCCCTCATTAGGCAGTGCAGCGATTGATTGATTCAAGGCGGCGACGATGTCAGGCCATCATCAATGCTACTGATCGTGTTACTTTTGTGGAACACCCTCAAACTCTTATAACTCGTCAGTAAACCTGTTATGTTAACATCCCGTATTGTTGTTGTTGTTTTCGTTTTTAAAATTGATTGACTTCGTATTCCTGAAATTTTAAAGAATATCGACTCAATGTGAAACTATTTTAATTTTAATACAATGTATACTTAAAAATGTGACAGAATTATATATATATATATATATATATATATATATATATATATATATATATATATATATATATATATATATATATATATATATATATGTATATATGTATAAATATACATATAAATGGATGTGTGAAAACAAATTAATGTTGAATGAAGAAAATAACAGACACCATTCTATTTGGGAGTGGAAAAAATCTTAATGATGTTAATAGAAGCCAGTTAGAAATTGAAAATATTCTACTGGTATATATCCTTTTCCAACAAGGCCAAGAACCTTGGTATATATTTAGATTCAGGCATGTCCGTGAATAACAAAGTAAATCATGTTATCGGATTTATGTACCCTGATCTCAGAAGAATTAAGATAAGGCACTATATTTCAAAGGCTATTGCATGCGTGCTCTGCTGTCTCTCGTGTCTTTTCAACATTTTACTATTACAATTTTGTTCTGTCTGGTATTTCATGTGAGAGAATGAGAAAATTGCAGTGGCCCAAAATAACACAGAAAGACTAGCACTGAAGAAAAAAAAAGACCGATCCTGCATCTAAAGTGTTAAAAGCTCTGCATCGGCTTTCAGTCGATAAAAGAATCCACTATAAAGTTTCTACTGTCTGTTTTAAATGTCTTAACAATAAAGCCCCATCATATCTATCTGAGCTTTTAGTTTTAACGCTGTATGCGTCATCGCGTCAGTTACGGTCATCCAGAGACGCAACAAAATTCAGAATCCCTAGACTGAAATTAAGATCTCTTGGTGTGCCAAGTTTCTCATATTTTGGCCCTAAAATCTGTAACTCCTTACTCGAGGATCTCAAAGAAATAACAAATCCTAAAACGTTTAAACAATTACTCAAGGCTCATTTGTTTAATTCTTAGTGGTAGTGTGTTAGTAAGTGCTGATATGTTTTGCTTTTACTACTGTCCTTACGTGTATATACCCTCGGAAAAAAGAAACTGTCCATAGATTTCAAGCCTAATTTTGAAAATGTTATAATCCTGGTAAATTATTTTAGCTTATTCAAAGACGAAACGATACGTAAGACTAGTTTTTAAAAAAAACGTCAGTTTATACGCAAACAACTCTCGACAAGAAAACCCTCCTCCCAACCCCCCCCCCCCCCCCCCCGCAAAACAAGAGTTTAGGAAAATTGTGTGTGTGTGTGTGTGTGTGTGTGTGTGTGTGTGTGTGTGTGTGTGTGTGTGTGTGGCCTTTAGAGAATCCAAGCACTTCTTAGTGTTCAACTCTAAAGTATGACATAGCTGCCCACAATAGAAAGGTCAAGATGCGCACGACATACAGGTCAAGAGATGTTACTACAAATGAGAGTGTCTATTGTTGTCTAACAGTGACACCGCTTGTTGGCTATTGTGAGTGGCTGCGTCAAGATCCTTGTTCATGAAAATTCTACAAGTGTGCAAGCGAAGCGACATCCTGTTATTTTCATACAAAAGTTCGGTCGTCAGGATGGACGTCAGTCGTAAGGCGAGGTTAAAAAATGCTTTGGTTCTGTAAACAAAGCTTTTATGATCGCTAGTTTTAAGTGTACTGATTCGATTACCAAGACACTTTTGTTCGGGTGAGTATATTTGGAATATATATAGACATGTCACTTTTGATGACTTTGATATTTATCTGTCTTTCTGTCTGTCTGTCTGTCTGTCTGTTTGTCTATCTATCTATCTATCTATCTATCTATCTATCTATCTATCTATCTATCTATCTAACAGCCGACCAGAAAAAAGTTCTTTTAAAGAAATGTTATTAACTTTCTTGTTTTTTTCTCAGTTAACAGCAAAATTGATCGAAAGCTAAGACATACATCCTTATTACGTTTTTTCAGGAAAATTAATTGCTGTTGCACAACGGAAAGATGATATATCAGTTACTCCCTGAACAACGTGCTTTTTCAGTTTAGATGTATCAGAAAAAAAAATCGACAAAATCAACCTGTTAATGATTGAATTAATGTCCTTATGGTTGCTTGAGGAATCCCCTGCTATTCTTTGTGAAGTGCAGCCTTCAGTTCCTGGCGAGTTTGCACAGGGTGTGGCCTGTTTTTAACCTGCCAGTCAAGGTCATCTTTCATATGTTCTGTTAGGGTTCAGGCCTATTGATCTTGCAGGCCTTTCCAGAACTTTGGTTTTGATGAGTTTGGAAAGTGTTTTGACTGATCATGGCCGCAGGGTCGGGCGTTGTCCTTTTGTCACATTCCATCATTCGTGCAATGTAGGGCAGGGCATCGTGCGTGGCGAAGAATTTCGTCACAATACCGTCGTCCTTTGAGGTTGTTTTGAATAGTGACTAAATTTGTACGAAGAAGAGCAGAGATTCCATCTCTTACAATCACACTGCAGCCACCGAATCGGTCCATTTTGAGGACAATGGCTTTGTGAACTCTCTATCCTCTTCTTTTTAACACGTTTTCTCTTCCATCAATGCGGTGAAGTAAAATCCTTGACCATTGCTGAATGGAACATTTTACCAACTTCTCTGGTTCCATCGTCAGTGTTATCGTGCCCAAATCTGGCGATTTCCTCTTTGAAAAAGATAAAAAATGGGTCCACATAAAGGACGATAATCAAACAGTCCATGATCACATAGATGTCTGATAATGTTGTTTTAAGGCAGTCCGAAGTATCTAGCAGTCTCTGAACTTAGTTGGAACGGATTTCGAACATGGGTATTGACAACATAGCAGCGTCGGGGAACAGCGACTGTTGACGTCATTTTACCGGGGAACAGCGACCAGGGAACAGCGACTAGTATTTGACTATATTTCTTTGTTACAGTGAAACTTGGTGTAATCGCCTACAGTATCGAAAACAATTAGACCAAACATGTTACATTTCGTCTCGATTTTCATTAACTAGGCCAAGAGCTCAGTCAAATCTCCCGCCAATCTGTACATAGGAAAAGAACAAGAAGAGAGAAGTTGATCGCAGCGTAAAGAGTTGTCGCAAGGAGAATTTAAAAGACAAATTTTAATTTCTTATAAAATGCTGCCAGCTTAGTAGCAAGCTTGAAAACAGTCTCCAGAATGTTCTTAGAGTTTGAACTTTTGTTTTTCTATCTTTGCATTCTCCTCTTCAGGTGGATGTCATGATTTTCAGTTTAGATGCTGCGATTGCAATATTCCGTTTCATCTCTGTTTTCCCATTTGATGTTGTTTCTCCATGATTGGTGTATCATACTCCTACACTATCATACTCTTACGCACATGATCACACACACA